TCTATAATCGATTATATATGTGATACGTGGAATCCAGGCATATATATATAGCCCTGTTAAAATCACGCGAATATATCGTGACTCTAGTACAACTTAGGAAAGTTGTAAAACATCGACTACTAGTTACAAAAGAGGAAATACCGTCTAATCTATCCACCCGACTACATACTGTCTTTAGCTAACTAATCCTAGTACTCTGTCTAACTATCTGTCCCTCGCTTATCCTTCGCTAATCGCGTCCGGCTAGAAAAGGGGGGATATTTAGCGAGTGTACTAGGGGAAGTATAACCCTCGCTAGGCTTCTTTGTGTTTAGGTCGGCANGGGGGGGGGGGTCTGGTGTATGCCCGAGGGAGGGTCTGTCTCTATTCGATCCATGAGACAAGGCCGGGCCGGGACAACTATAAGGTATTTAAAGGGGTAGCATTTAACGGTAATAAGTTAAAAGTTAAGGTTACGCTTTAGGCTAGTATCGAGACTTAGCGACATGTTATTATATATACCGAAGGTATATCCTTAAAACTCTATAAGAATAGGAATTAATAGCTAATAATTACTGTGAAAGGCCAGACCTCGAACAACTCAAAGGTGTGGGTTCAATATTCAATTAAGAACTACGTGGTCTGTAAATACATGTTCCTCCTCTACTCTTATACTAAATGTAGCATTTCCATTGCATTCGACACTGTTCCATAGTATTACCAATCTTCTGCGTCATAGCATTCTATCTTATTCCATGGCGTTCCAGAGGCGGGGTCGCTTAGCTTAGCGAGGGCTCTTGGCCCGAGCCCACTATGGGTTCTAACCCTCACAATTACGTACTCTTCGGAGTCCGATATTTAGAGTGCGAGTCCGATATTTGAGTGTCTGAAAAAAAAGCTCTTTTACGAGTCCTCCTATAATACTTTACACTTTAGCTATAATACTTAATAGCTAAACCCGTTTAGGTAGAAAGGGCGTTCCGCGACTCCTAGCAACTTAGCATTTCAACTTTAGCTACGTTTTAGGTGTAATTAGGAAACTCTTATATATACCTCGCGGCATTTTAAGGTAACAAGAAGCTATTTCTATCTACTATCGCTGTCGCACCCTCGCTACTGTCGCAACCTTACTATCGCACTCTTACTATCGTGCCCTTACTATGCCCTCGCACTCTTCTAATTCGTACCCCGCGGGTTAGAGTTAGGGTTAGAGCTACAGGTTAGGGTTAGTAGAATATGAACCTCACTGTCGCGTCACGTCTTACCTAGGTATATACTTTAATAAGGCCACTTAGTATTTTTTTAGCACTTCGTAACGTAGGTACCTACTTCCCTCATTTGGTTAGCTGTCAAGCATTATAGCGAAAGTGTAAAGCATTATAGGAGGATTCTCTTTCGCAGGGTGATTCTATAGTATACTCGAGAAGTGTCGGCTCGAGAAGGGGGGGGTTTCCGTAGGCGTTCCGTATGTTCCGGAAAGTAGGAATATTATCGGATTTACCTATCTCGTCGTCGGATAAGGTGCTAGACAAGTACAAACAGTTATCGAGGACTCGGATAGCTTAATTAAGAGGTCGAGTATTAACGAGCGACGATAATATAAATAATTATCGTACACTACCTAAACTTATAGTACTCTTCAAGTCCTGTCCGAGGGCACCGTTGTGTTGGATGGCAGGACTCGTCGCAAGTTTGGATAGATAAGCTTTGGAAAGCGAGATGGATTTGAAAGGGTTCATAGGGTGCATTGGGTGTATTCGTTTCCCTGGGGGAGGTACTCATTGAGATTTCGAGATAAGGGTAAGGGCTTCGATTATTTAGTCCTTTTTATATTTGCTTGGCTTCGTGCTAGAGCCTACGGTTTCTACAGCACCGCTGAGAGCTATATATCTTCAAAGTCAGTATTATCTGTCAGTTTTTGTTCGGCAGCCAGGCTTGGATAAAACCGACCTGGAAGGAGCGAGCTTTATAGAAGATGTCTTGGAAGACCCAAGTGATGCGAGAGCCTAAGTGAATATATTCTCTTAGCGAGTAAAGGACCTAGTCAGGACTAGAAGATTCCCTCAATCTTTGAATCACTCCTCTCATCCTTATTCAGAATATCCAGACAGAAGAAACAATCACGTCCTGCTTCCCCCAATCTCTGCAATTTTGGCATTTGCCATGTCCACATTGACTACAGTCTTTCTTCTCATAAATTGTGTGTACCCGACACTGAACCCCACTTGTCAGCAGCTGCCGAACATTTTTCCATATGAATGTAGCGACAAAACTCAACAGTGAGACTTGAGAAAGTTATGTTAGAACTTACACCACAACAACCCCAAGGCTTTCCACGCTGAAAACCCAACTTCGACTTGTGATTGTCACTGTCGTTGCTTTCATTGAGTTGCTTCATTCCCTTCTCTCTTCCACTCCTCATGCGTCCCACGAATCGCAGCAAAAATCGCATAATTGGGTGTCTATCAAAAGATTGATGGAGAGCCGTCTCTCGCTCCGAAACAAGCTACACACGTGTCAGCGCGTTCCACGAAATTGCCCACCAAAGTAGGGGAATATCACACGGACTCACGTATTGCCTTCTCCAGGATAATTTAACCAAAAAGAAGAGAGTCCGAGGTTCTAAATGTGTGTTAGAAAGTTCGAGAATTGGTGGGTTGGGCTGGATGTATCTGATCCTTCTTACGGAGGTCCGAAGAAATGTTGCCACTTTTGATCTGACATTTGTCTGAGGGCCCCATGAGGCTTTGCAACGGTATATATATGCAGACGTAGTGAATCATCTTGAAATATACTGCATCAGATTTGTGTGGTTGGTGGGGTTATGACTCAAAACTCAAGAGTGAGTGGTTGCATTCAAGAGGTGAAAAAGGAATGAATAACAAAAATGTCTGAGAAGGTTGGTATGGCAACGAACCACCGGAAGACCGCGTTTGAGAATACAATGTACGAAGGGGAAGTTCAAGTATATCATATGTCCTTTCCCTAACTATTTGAAGATCTTGTTCAGACAGCTTTATTAGGTACGTTCAGGGAAGATTTTAGGGGGTTACAATTATACTTGTAAAATTCGGTTAAGTTATCCCTTCCAGACTCGAGAGTGCCGGGTGCGGTCGTGCGCACTTGTAGATATAATATATAGGTCAAATTGAGGCTTGAGACCCAGGAAAGTGGGTTTATAGATCTTGAACCTTAATACGTAAAAATACGGTAGTGAACATGTAAAAAGATTTCTGTGCTCGTATACGAGCTACTATAATTAATTGTATAGCGACGCGTATAAATATATAGAGAAATGTCTAGAGATTCTATAGAAATTATCACTTCTGTTTTCCTTTACAAAATGGTCCTAAAATTATAATATATCTACCACTACTAGAACTAAAGTATACCACTAAGTTTTTGTGATTAGCATTAGTAGTATGTGCACACGCGTAAAGTGCTTGGAAAGTAGATAATTTTGCTCTACTAGGAACGCACGACCGCACCCCGCACTCTCGAGTCTGGAAGGGATAACGCGCTTTTTGGCTACCGTTGTAACTTATAGACTACTAAGTAATGAACTATTTATAAAAATACGAGAGTGGTTTATTTAAGTACTAGATATTAGATACGCCTTCTATATCTAGTAATATAAAACTATACTATTATTATAAACCGGCTTTAATTATAATAAAGCACGGTCTCTCGGAGGATAACAAGTGTGGTAGAAGCCGTTTTCATTAGCCTAACTCAAACTTGTTTAATATTCTAGTTATTTATGCTAATTATAAGAAGGAAAGATACCTGGTTGTTACTCTATATATTAAGTGGGAAGGAGCTTTTGAAGACACTTTTGTATTTTGTTAACTTCTCAAAACCCTGCTTTGTCGCTGTAGCATGCTTCCCAACTTACCCACCTTACCAGACTGCCCACCCTGCTTTCTATCTGTTTTAGAGAAAATAATAACTGCTTCTCTGAGTTTAAACACTCCTTTTATTTTGATTATTGCGATCTTGATATTAAGTCGTAAATTTAATATCAAGAAGAAAATATCAAGGTCAAGTGATATACACCTCTGGACCAACCTTCCAAACCTTAGATCTAACCCCACGACCTCCGGTCATCTGAACTTCCATTTCCTAACCCCAACAATTCTCACTATCCCATCATTTCAACCCAGCCCAACGTGGTCTTTAATCTATTCTTCCTTTGAGAGACTGTAGGCATTTATTCGAAGACACATTGGACTTGTGTATGTCTGTATCCGCTCAAAACCGAGGAAGAAAACACGCATTGTACGACCTCCTCCATCCGGCTGCCGACGGACGCATGCTCTCACATATGCGGACGCCCTGGCATCATGATCAATTACTGCATCATTGGGTTCCTCAATAAATACAAGACCAAATTTCACACTGACAACGCGTCCAAAAAGGCCATCGCTCTCGCCCTGGCTTTCTGGGGCGTTTATAGCTGTGGAAATACAGTTATATTTGAATAATGTAGTTCTCCCGGGGGTTTTAAAGAACTCTTGGAGTATCATACTCTACAAAATTCAGATACAACTCACCTACTGGTAAAGGTACAGTACATTACACCATGTTGTCGGTCTGGAGCGGGTTACCTGCATGTGCTAAGTCAATTCTCGTATTGACTGGCTTACACGACCTGGTTGATGCTTCCCATTCGAAAACCTCATTTCACTTCAGCGGGAGCGCGAAAATGCTCGTCTAGCTCATTGCGGCTGTGTACCTGCATGTACGATCCCTGCTACCACATGACAATTTGCGTTGGCGTTCTGATTCGCCAATCAGTTTGATGCTAATGCAAGAGCAAGTTGTATCAGTTTAGACCAGGCATGTAAAAGCATTTTGCTTCGTGTATTCCGCTGAAGATGAATACCAAATTGTTGAAAGATATGGAGCTGTAACGTAATGAGTTATACAGTGCGACCATGCATTGAGCTCAAATTTTCTATATAGGGCTACTGATGAGCCTCCTCAGAATCAAAAGCCTCTTATCCAAAAGTCGGGTTATGCTTTGTTTCTTGGGAGACCTTCATCATGTTTTACACAAAATTCTTGCTTGCTGTGGTACTCTTCACAGGGAATGTGCTCAGCAATCCTTCTTTCTCGACTGGCCCCATTCCCAAAAATTCAAACAACTTTGCGCCACCAAGCTCAGAGAGTAAGAAAGCTTTAGGTAAACCCCAACCGAGATATGTTCCGAATGGATATATCGTTCAATTGCAAAGCGACGGGCCCTTAGCGAAGCGCGCCTTGGACCTACACGAAGACTTTCATTTGCTGGCCAAGCGACTTGACGGCATAGATTACTCTATTCGTGAGACCTTCTCAGAAAACAAAATATTTGTTGGTCTTTCTTTGACATTAAAAGCCGGCGACGTCCAAGCTCTCAAGTCTCTGAAGAATGTCGCGAATGTATGGCCAATCAAAACCATGCCAGCCCCTGCAGCTGTGGTTCGCCGTGTACCATTGACGAGGAGATACGAAAAGGCTGTTGTTACTGGAACCAATTACTCCTTGCCATATATCACTGGGGATTTAGATGTGAATAGGCCTCACGAAATGACCGGTGTCAATAAAGCTCATGGGGCTGGCATCAGAGGCAGGGGCGTTAAGATTGCGATCTTGGATACGGGGGTGGATTATCGACATCCTTCCTTGGGAGGCTGTTTCGGATCAGGTTGCAAGATTTCTTTTGGTCATGATTTTGTTGGCGATTCTTACGATCCTGATATGGGGATACCAGCAGTCGAAAGTGCTGATCCGCTGGCCACTTGCATCAATGGGGGCCACGGTACCCATGTTTCTGGTGTGTTCAATCCAAAAATGTGGAATTTGTAACACTAATAGGATCTATTCAGGTATTATCGGAATGGTTGATCAGCCAGGCACTGGCTACGGCCTTCTTGGCGTCGCTCCTGAAGCAACTCTAGGTCAGTACTTTACCCATTATTGTATACATCAAGTACTATTTCTCATGTGTTTCTTGTAGGAATGTATCGTATTTTCGGGTGTGGTGGAGGATCAGATGACGATATTGTTATGAAAGCACTTTTACGAGCAGCAACTGATGGGGCCAACGTCATCAGCATGTCGTTTGGTCATATTTGGGCCGATGAGGCGTCAAATCCTTATCAACCTATCTCGAAAAGTCTGTATGAGCAGGGCATTGCCTTATTTGCATCTGCTGGTAATGCAGGTTCGTTCGGTATATTCGGACCTTCCAGCCCAGCAATCAGCACAGATATCTTTGCCGTTGGCTCGGTGGACAACAACAAATATCCTGTCACTTATGCACTGAAAGATTCCGATGGACGTTCTCTCCGATACTCGGCCAATTTTCCGCAAGATTCTCCCCCAGGAGGTCTGATCGTGCAAGTTATGAGCTATGGTAGGCCAGATTACTTATTGACCGGATCGTTCATAGATCTCTACGAGGAAGCCGCCCAAAATTTGACTGCGGCAGGTATAGATCCAGCCAACGTCATTCTTGCAGCCAAGTACGGCGATTTTGCTCCTGAGGTCAAAGCCGAGCTTGCAGCTGACTTTGGGTACAAGTACTTTCTGAGCTATGCAACGGAGGATGTTGAATCATTTTTCGGCAAGGAATACTATGTTGCTAGCCCTGAGAGAGCCTGGCCAATCGATCCCATCACCCTTGTCGTACAAGATTCCACTACTCTTTTAGAAGGTTATGGAAAGCATCCGCTCAAATATAAGATCTTCTTGAGTTCTTCGGATTATTTTGCCAAAAGCACTGTCTCTATGACGGGTGGCTTCATGAGTAACTATTCTTCTTTCGGGCCCACGATACAGTACAACATTAAGCCACAACTCTCAGCACCAGGTGGAAATATTCTCGCCACATGGCCACTCGCAAATGATGGATATACAATTATTTCTGGTACTTCAATGTCCACCCCTTTTATGGCAGGATCGTATGCGCTCATAAAATCCCAGCGACCAGAACTTAGCGTAGGAGGTATTTACGCGTTGATGCAAAACTCAGGAAAGACTTTACCATGGTTCTACAACCAAAAAATCAAATCAGCAGCTATCCACCAAGGAGCAGGCTTGCTGGATGTTCACAATGCCGTGACATGGGAATCATATATCACCCCATCCCAACTTAATGTCGGGCTGCAGAAGGACTATGTTAATTGGAATAATGTGGTCACTCTCAATCTCACAATCACAAATCTGTCGACTAGGTCGAAGACATACACTTTCTCTCATACCCCGGCAGGATTGATGGAAAACAAATGGTGGGATCTGGAGACTTACAACAGGATGTATGCGTACTACGCATCGGTGAAGTTCCACGAAGAATCTGTCTTGGTGAAGGGTGGCGAGAAGGGTGTGGTGAGTGTCGATATCATCGCTCCTGTTCCCGATCAGGCTACTTGGGGAGATGATGCGATTAACCTTCTCGACCCTGTGTTTAGCGGGTTCATTGTTGTCAACAACAATTTTGAAACATTCAATATTCCCTATGCCGGCCAAATTTGGGATAGTTGTAGATTTGGGTGCTCGGTTGGGTGATGGAATTGATTATGGTGGAGTTCGATGCACTGGGATGTCAGATCATAGTGTTTCCATGCTCGATTATTGAATGAAGAATATCATGGTGATACCGATCTTTCCAGTGACAGAATATGGCGTTCGTTGATAAGGGTGGGATGCTCAAGGTATTGCAGGGTTGTGAGATACCTGGCCATTACTCCGTAAACACTATATTCAAAGTTATTATACTAAACCTCTGGCACAAGTGAAATAGTTGTGTTAGTATATGAGTACCCAATTAATGAATATTAAACGGTAACAATTATTCAAAACTATTTAGAGAACTCGTTTAGTTGTACAACGCGATTAGAATGGTTTCATTCAAAGAGAAGTGTGTAATCTTACAGAGTAATGTCTACTTATCTTACTGTTTGAAATACTACGGTACAGCTCTTACAGTAACTATATCTGGTGGTACTACATAAAATCTTACATAGGATGAAACCGTATACGAGCATCTTTCTCTTAACTACACTATCTCTCCTTCTTTCTTTCTACTTCGTATCACGGATTAACCTCCTTCTATTTCGAAGTATCCTTCTCAAAGATGCGGTTTACTTCAGCTCCATCATATAGGATAATACTATTCGCAATCCATGCGAGCACATACGACATCAAAGGTGACGTCCTAGCGGAGGATTCCCACCATAACTGGAAAGACGATCTTGCGCGCGAACCGACAGCGGAGGAATACCTACAACACGGAGAACCATTACCAGCCATTGCAGCCTCCGTTACCACCGTACGTGATGAACAAAGCTATATCGTGAAAATAGACTGTTCCAAATGTCCTTCACGGGTACGAACTGGCTGGCAGGGAGATGATATGACCTGGGATGTTGTGGAGCAGGAGACTTCCTTTGTAATTAGTCCCCCTTATTCATCCACGATTATCTTCTAAACTCTGACAACAATCTTATTAGCTATACAATATCAAAACCGACGACCATGAGAATGCTCTGCTCATCAATGGAAACATTTTCTTTCCCTCAATCTTGCGTTCTATGGAGACAATCGATGCTTTCCAAACGCCGAGGAATTTATCGAAGGAGCTCGTGGAAACCATGGTGGATATGAACATGCTTGTTATGTCGATGCGGCCTTTTTTGGAAGCTAAATACCCCGCCTATCATTTATATTATGACAGAAGAGTAGGAAAGAATAACACGAAACACAAAATCACATTAATTACCACCGCCATCGAAGATATCGATGGTCGTTATCCAGCTAAAAAAGCTATACCCTTTTGGGACCAGAAGGTTATTCAACTGGGAATCGAGAAAGAAAATGGAGGCGAGATAAGGATTAAGGACATCGAGGTCCTGAATAGTGGTCCGCAGTCTCCGAGGTTAGCTATAGGGTTGTTCAATTATGTCTAATTTGAATAAATTATCTATAATTACTAATTAGGCCGATTATCTGATAATAAATTATCTATAAATTACGTGTATCATGTAACCTCGGGGCGGAAAATCTAAACAGCCTAGCTACAAATTATAGTTTTAATCTATTAGTATCACTAGCGAAGTAATAGGATACAGTATAACTTTATTTAGTTATATTACGTATAGGGTCTAAGGGAGTGTGGTGTTATAGCTAATATATCTAAGTATATACCGTACTATCTAAGACAGTTTTACGTAATAGCCCTCCTTTCTACCCTAAGACCTAATTATACCGATACTAGTACTACTTGAAAAATAGTAAAGATAGTATAAAGTACTTCGATGTCACGAATCACGTGTTCACGTGATACCTGTCATAATAAGAGGCGCAACCCTCGACAGGCACATTCAGGTTTCTTATAGCAAATAGGGATCGTTTAGAGTAGCTAAGCGATCCAGGGATTTCTCTGTATTGTTATCACGTGATATTAGGAGTTCGCCAGTTAGCCGGGCGAACAGGCGAAGTTAGCCAGTTCGATTGTCGAATGAGCGAACATCGAGAGAACGAAGGTTCTATATAAGACTGGCACGTCTGCCATTAGATAGGAGCTTCGTGCTCAACTTAGTTATTGATCTTATCATATTAGTTTGACATCTTTGATACAAGTAACGAGTTCACTTCCAAGTGAACAACCCGATAGTCTTCTTATCATAGCATAGCAACCAGCGAACACCCAGCCAAGTTTAGTTAGCCAGTTTGAGTATTCGTTACATTCGAATAATAAAAGAAACTTATCGTTCTATCCTTTCTTTAGCCTTTTTAGTCTTCTTAGCTACTTTTTCTACCTACTTATTAGGCTTATATTATACCTTGTTCAAATTAATAAGTAGCTTTAAAGTACTATTATATTTCGACTTAGTTATCGCGGCGGCGGGGTTATTAGGTCCTTGAATCTATAGGAAGTTATTAATCTCTTTCTTTTTAAAGGCTTCTTAAATTACTATTAGATCTACTATAAGGCGTTTCTCTTTTATTATACTAAGTTTAATTACGTAATTATAAAGTAACTTAGTTAGAATTAGTATAAACTTTAAATATTATTAGTAAATCGAGTATATTATTAAGAGTCTCCTTTATAGATAACGTGCATGTATAGCGAACCGGCCAAACAAGCGAACCGGCCAAAATTTTCTACACTCGCGATTGAAATTGTAAGAACTCTACCACAACGCCTCTAATTAAAAAACACTATTCAGAAATTTCTTCCTCAGATACTTCCTCTATAATATTACAGGTGCGCGTATTATGACCAGTCTCTCCGCAGTTGCCACAGCGCCGTGCACGTGATTCTTCCCTCGGCTTCCGACCACTACTTCTCTTTATTTCCTGCATTACCTGCTCACCAACGTCTCTATCATCCTGTAGGTCCTGCGCTTCCTGTTGACTAAGTGATCCTCCTTGCTGTAGGCGTGTTTTTTTAGCTCTACGGCGCTTACTTAGTACTTCATTTGCTTGTCGAAGTCTCTGGTTCTCAGCTTTCAATAGTACTATCTGGTGCATTACTTTTGATGCACCCTTCGTAAACTGGTCAATGGCCTCGTAAATAGGGGTTGGAGAGCTACTTTGGTGGCGTAAAATTCGATCTTTAATAAATGCAGTCTGTGATAAGGCTTCAGTAGGGTTATTTGGTGTCTGGGAAACCCAAGGCTGAGCGGAATACGGGGGGGAGTTTGGAGGCGTTGGCGTCTTTAGCTTAAGATCAAGTGTAGAAATTACACTTTCTGGGTCAAATGGAAGAAGCCCAGCCCCTCGGAACCCTCCTCGGATATTGCTTTCTGTCATTGCAATATTAAATGCGGCGTGGAAGGCAGGAAAGAAATCATCCTTAGTAATATGGATGATCTGAGCCCGCATCATATCTTCAATTTGCTGACCATATGCCCTTTTCAAAGGGCTAAAACAGCCAACGTCGAGTGGCTGGAGTATATGAGAAGAATGAGCAGGCATACAAAGAGTGATAATGTTGTTTTCCTTGCAATATTCCTCAAATTCGTCGGAGTGGTGGCTTTCATGGCCGTCGAGGACTAATAGACGATAACCACCAATAGATTGGGACTTTGTATGCTTCTCAAAATGTCGAATCCAATCCATGCCTTTCTCATTTGTTGTCCAACCATTTTCAGTAATAGCAATCACCCAGTTAGGTGGAAATCCACTGTTTTGGTACCAAGAAGCGAGGTGATTTTTTGCGGCAACAATCACAAACGGTGGAACACACCAGCCTTGGGCATTAACCCCCTGGATTACTGTAACCCATTCCCGATTACCAGGCTGTACTCTTTTTGCTTTTACACGTCCTTCTGAGCTTGTAATAACCATTGCAGTTGAGATAACGCCCATCATAAACCCAGTCTCGTCAAAGTTGTAGATATCTGCATCGTAGATTCCGTACTTCGCTATTGTGTTTCGTACAAGCTCAAACCAGCCACGAATGACTTCTGGATCTTCGCACTTAGCTCTCTGATAGTCGTATTTTCGTTGGAAGCGTGTCTGGAGTTCTGGGCGGCGCTTAACAAAGTTATAAGCCCAACGCGTCCCGACGCGTGGCGCGTCGCGTGCTTCAAGAAGTCGATTTGCTATATCTTCCACTACAGATATCCGCGGAGGAAATCCTTTTGTAGCTAGGTCGAGGATATGTTGAACAAGTACAGATTCCTCTAGCTCGGTCATTTTCCGTGAATTGGCTAAAATATCGCGTCGTGAAGGTATACCAAGCAAACGTCGACCTAGCTTCCGGTGGTCTACAGAATAGGTCCTGGCAGCAGCTCGAGCACGTAAATTTGGGTCCTTTTGCATAGCTTAGATAGCTAAGACTAACCGGCTTTCGTCATTTTTCAGAGGCATCCTTCGTTGTAGAGAAATTTAATATTCCGTGGAGGTGTGGTCGGGTCGCCGGGTTTTGGCCGGTTCGCTTGTTTGGCCGGTTCGCTATACATGCACGTTATATACTTTTAACTTATTTAAATATAAAAGATAAGTATTATATATCGAGATCTTATATTTTAACTAGTTAGTATAAAACTAAAGGTACATTTTAAGCTAGTAGTTACTAGCCTTAGGCACGCTATACTATAGCTTTTTTATATATAACACTTTACCTTTCTACTAAGGTTAAAGAGGATTCTTTAGAAGATAAGTATAAAACTAGCAGTTTAGCTTAGTAAGTAACTAAGTGTATACTTGTATAATATTATAAAGAAAGATATTAAAATTACTAAAACCTAAGAGAGTAGTAATTATAAGAATTAGCTTTTAGCTTACCTTTTAAATAGTAAGTAATTTAGTTAAAACAAAAGACTTTTCTTAGTTACTTTACGCCTAGATAACTAGTCTTAATTTTATATACTCCTTAAGAGTACTTTTATTTCTAGCTTCTCTTATAAACTTCGAGTTAAATATATATACTTCTAGTAGTATATTATTCTTATTAATAATATTAATAGCTTTATAGTCTATAAGTCTATTAACCTTAATCTTATTTATAGCTTTTGTCTTATCTATTACTTTATTATCCTATAATATATAAATAGTTTCCTTTCGAGATCTCCCGAGTCCTTATTTCTTATTCTTCTTTTATATTTGTCCTAGTCTTTACTTTAGTAGTACTATAAGAGGTATAGTAATAGGCGTAGTAATAAGTGTTTATAGAGCTAGGTTAGGTTAGTAGTAAGGTCTTAGATTTTAGGGCTTAGGAATAGTTTAGAGAGGTCTTTTATTAACTTATTATAAAAGTACTAAGTTACTAGATTTTAATAATTATTATCTATATTATTATTATTATTATCTTCTATAAGATATAGTTATACTAACGTTAATCTGAAGTCTAATTAATTTATATAGCTTATCTAAACTATATATATTTCTCTATTAATTTTAACTAATTTATATAAACCTTTCTATTCTCTTAACTTTCTTATAGCTCTTTATACTCTAACTAACTATCCTACTTATAGGTATATATTTATTTAAAGGTCTATTCTATAGTCTTAATACTTCTTATACTTAGCGCTTAGTATGAAGGTTTCTAATAGCTTTTATAGCTTTTAGTATTACTATAACGCGTTAAGTATAATTGAGTAAAGGTAGTTCTTTATCTATTAACCTTAGATATATATTAAATACTAGTAAACATTAGTACTAAACTATCTAGTCTAATAAAATTATTAAAAGCTTTTATAGCTATCTATAACTTTATATTATTACTTAAGAATAAAAGCTTCTTATTAATAATTATAAAAGCTTATTAAAGTAAATTATAATATCTTTCGACCTTTTTAACTAAATAGTAAGCTTCTATAAGAACACTAATTACCTTAGTTCTTATTATCTTTATATATAAGTAGAACTCCTTTCTAGCGAAGTTAGTATCTTAGTTATAGGTAAC